ATTAGGTGATTAGCAAATAAAATCACGAGATGATCAACAAAATCTAACCAATTACAATGAATGTTCGCTATGCTATTTCCCTATAAATTTTAATAAGTATATAGAGAAAGCCGCCAAGGAGATTTCTATATAGCCGCGAAGAGAATCGGTTTATAATATGACATATTTAAACAAAAGTAGTGCACAACAACTGAAAATATAGAATCTAAAGCCAAGGTCCTTGCACTCCTACTGCATTCGCAGAGCCTAACTGGTGGGGTCTTTGCTAATTGCTACAAAAACAAAGTCATTGCAGTCGCGAATTCTGACTTTGCTTACCGAAGCACTCCGCCTAACAAACCAGTAGCCATGCATTAGCTTATTGTTAAGTCACTGCAAAATAGGTGTGGTGGAATGGACGATAGAGCCGCCTTCCTGTGAGGCGACTGATAGCAAAGTGAAAGATAACCTCTTTCTACACCCATGAATACACTGCATTTACAAACACGCCCTTTTCCCTCGCCTTACTGATTTTATGTTAAACTAATATGATACTACTAATTAACTGACAGTTATCGTTATATCAGTTCGTCACTTAACCTAACCAAGAAAAACCTGCATCTAACGAGACAATGGCCCCGTTCAGCGATTCGGACCCTTTTCATTAGTATATACTATATTTACCCTAATACGGTAATACGGATGCTTCATTTGGTTTAGTAAAAAATTTCAATTATGTATATTCAAATATAATACATATACCGCACTGCTGAACCGCTGAACGGGCCAGCATAAATAGTCTGTAAAAGGCTAAGCGACCAATTAGTAGTCATGCGTGAGAAAACTGATCTCTAAATTAGTGTTATTAGAAAACTTGTGATCTGTATAAACGTATAATCCCAATCAATTTTAAAATTTTCCTTCAGTTTATTCTTCAATATACCATACATACACTCCGTTTTCACTACGTTCCTGTATAAGACTGTTATTAGTGCTTATTGCATCGCTATTGAGTTAATTTTATTTGTGATAGAGTTATTTGAACAAAATAATTCAATAACTATATTAAGATCACAGGAGTATTTAGTAGATTAATATATGTACAAGCGAAACTTTATTTCCGACGGTCCAGAATATTTTCATACACAAATAAAATGATATTTAATAAGTATTACCCGATTGCTGCTAAATTTAACCCTATTTGTATCCTATTGCTTAAAATTTTTGGCCTAATTATTGCCAAATTATTTAATAGTAGTGCTATTTATTCCAGGACGGTGGGAATTAGTGATGCTTGACGAAATTGATTTTATTAGTAGACGAAATTAAATCTGACGAAATGACGAAACTCTTGACGAAATTATTTTGATCTATAATTATTAGTGACGAAATTAATTTTGAATTAGAATATTATTTTAAGGAGTATGCTGTCTAAGTTTATAGAAAAATTTCTTGGTGTTTATATGAAATTTTTGGCACAATCACAAAAATGATGAAACTATTCGTCAATTCAAAAATAATTTCATCAAGTATCTATAGTGGGAATAATGGAATATTTCACAATGGCGATTTGTGCCCATAAATGCGCCGTTGGGAATGTTTCAATTATTTCCCTGGCACAGCGGAATGAGTTGTTCAATGTTTCAAATGACGACATGGCAGGAACTCGTGTTATTAATTGTTTTCATCACATTTTCTTTGTCTCCATTTACATTTTTAACTTTTTTGGGAAAATAATAAGGCTCGTTATCACCTTCAGATTTTTGGTTATTACCCTGGAGAAATAACAAATAAAAAAAAAAAAAAAAAATTGTAATAAAAATTGTGATTAATAACACGCAAATCTCCGTCATGAGATCATAATGATACAGGGAATAACTATTTATTAAATATAATAGTTTATAATCAAATAACTCTATTGATCTCCAGATTTACTTATTTTTCACCATGATACAAAATATACGTAATAAAAATCATGATCTGGATCATTAATTTTAATAATTATTAATTATCGTTAAAAGTAAAAATTTTAAAGAAATTTAACATTTAAAGTGAATTTTTATTTTATATAAATTCATTATTTAATATAATAAAAATGGTAGAAGAACTTATAACTAATGAAGAAATGTGTTTAGATGATTTTTTTAATGTATTCAATAATTTCACAGAAACTCTTCAAGATAATTTAATTCCTGATTCTCTTCTTCCACCTAATGCTACTTTATTTATACGTGAAGGTGTTCAGCATGGTAAAATTTCTTCAGGCACAGAATATATTGTTCTATTAGATACTGATTTTGAAAATTGGATCTATGATTTTGTTAACAATACTAATACAAGTTATGTACGGGAAAGAACTGAATATAATACTGGAAATGTTGAATTTCAATACACTTACAAGTGTCATTGCTCAGGAAAAGATAAAAGCCAAGCAGGTCAAAATCTTATAAAAAAAGCAAGAATTATTCAAAAAATTCAAAAAAAATTGGCTGTGAATCTACAATTATAATTACTAAAACTAAAGAAGATTGTCCTCAAATGATTATTAAATATAAATTACATTCAAATCATACTCCAGGCAGTGACAATGATATTGGAACACTTAGACTTTCAAAACAAATTCAAAATTATATTGCACAGCGAATGCGTGATGGTTTAGATGTTAAAGCAATTGGTCGATTTTTTAGGAAATGAGCACATGACTTAGATAAAATTTGGGATCAATGTAACAATTTAAAAGCAATTCAAATTCATGATCATTTTATTACTAATGATGATATATATATAATATATGGAAAGAAGTAATTAAAGAAGATCAAATGTTACATGAAATTGAAGAGGAAAGTTTTAATTTATGGCAGCACAAACTTTTAGAAAATGGTGATTTAACTTGTGCTATAGCTCAATCTGAAAGTAATAATAATGAGGATAAAGGACAACTTTTAGGTTTTATAATTCCTATTATGAAAGAAATAATTTATAACATTAATACAGTTTTACTTGATGCTACACATGGTACTAATAAAAAAATGATCTACTTTATACTCTTCTCTCACCTGATTTTAAAACTGGAAAAGGATTACCTCTTGCACATCTCATTTCTTTTCGTAAAAATACTGCATCTGTACAATTTTGGTTATATAGTCTTCATATTCAATTGTTATGGAAAGGTCTAATATCTTTTTTAGTTGATTGTGATCCTGCACAGATTAAAGCTCTCTGGAATATCTTTCCAAAAAGTAAAATTTTACTGTGCTGGTGGCACATTCTTAGAGCTTGGCAAGATAATTTAAAAAAAGTCTATATCAAAAAAGCAAATTTAGTATTAAATGGTAAATTAAGTTCAGAAATAAAAAAAAAAATGAAAGAAGAATTATGGGATAACTTAAGAGAATTAATGTATATTGATAATTATAGAAATATTGATGAATATATTTTAAACAAATGGTCAAATTCGATATCATTTATTTCATATTTTAAAAAACAATGGTTAAATGAATCAAATAATTATTATCAAATTAGTGAAATTGACAAAACAATGTGGATTAAGGCATATAGGCTAAATGTTTCTCATGACAATCTCAATACTACAAATA